TTCTTTTTGGTTAATTAAAAGATCGAAGCTGCAAAATACAAAATACAATCGGCAGTGATTTTGATGGAATTCAAACTGAGAGACAGCTTCTTGTTGTCAATTAACCACGAAACAATCTAGTATTAACAGAGAGAGAACAGATTTCTTAGGGTGTATATTAGAGTTGTTACCTAGTACATACCTAGTCAAGTTCCCTTGCACTTCAAAATATTATAAGTTTTATCATTTATCTAGTTATCATTTTGTAAACGAACCGGTACTAAAATTGCCAGGCAAGGTAAAATGATATTGAGTATGAGTTATTGCCCTTCTTTAGCTCGTAAAAACTCTAAAAGGCAAATGTTCAATCTTCAGCGCGGTACTGAATAATAAAACCAAGTTTTGTCAAAATCCGACAAGAATCATGCCTTCTAGAGTTTTTACGAGCTACAAATTGAACGAGTTTTCAAGAACAAGGACAATAAATCATACTAAAAATTTTCGTTTTTTATCTGATTTTCAAAAGGCTTTATCCTTGGGTGATAACAAACAGTCAAGCCACCAAGAATTGTGCCTTCTAGAGGGTTTACAAGCTAAAAATTGAACGCGTTTTCAAGAACAAGGGCAATAACTCATACTCAATATTTTTCGATTCTTCTGATTTTCAATAGAGTTCATCCTTGGGTGATAACAAACACTCACACCAAGTTTCATCAAAATCCGTCATGAATTGCACATTCTAGAGTATTTACGAGCGTTTCAAGAACAAGGGCATTAACTCATACTAAATATTTTTCGATTTTTCTGATTTTCAATAGGGTTCATCCTTAGGTGATTACAAACAACCATACCAAGTTTCGTCGAAATCAGTCAAGAATTTATTGTGCCTTGTAGAGTGTTTACGAGCAATTGTGGACGGACGACGGACGGACGGATAGGGGTGACGGCAATATACGCCCCCATTTCATGAGGGCGAATAAAAAAGGACGTGACACAAACGACAATAATCTTACAGGCAGCACATTTTGTGTGGATGATTAAACTTCGAATACAACTTTCATCCTGATTTCATGAACCAGAGTAATAATACTTTTTTAGCAGATCTACACTAGACTTTACCACTATTTCTCGTCAGTGAAGCCTGGTCCGGTAAACATTATATGTACATGCTCTCTTTGAATATTTACAGGTTGATTAAATGTCTATTTTTTTAGTTGGATAAAAATGGGAAAGGTACTACTGTTATTACAACAGAAAAATTAAAGACAATAGCCTATGGAAGATATCTTTCCTACAAGACAATAATTGGTCAAGTAAATGTGACTGATGACGCAACTGGAGCGACGTACATCTCTCAAACCAGTCAAATTTCAGTGACTAGGACTAGAGAAAAGTTAAGCTTTGTTCTAAATCCACAGAACTACAAGCCTGCACTTGTTAACAGATTCTATGTAAGTTTTGCGTTGGGTGTAAAATTCAGAATTCCGTGTGTTTTGCTAACGAATTACTTTAAGTTTGAAAATTGGGAGTCTGGATAATTAAATATTATTTTGTACTGTATCCTCTAACTGATGAAAGTAACCACAGTTTAATTTAATCTCAATATCTCATTCCAGAAAGGAAAATCTAGTGGAAATCTAGTACTCTATAGTACTTCGCTAGAAGGAATGGTTTAAATTTTACAAAAAAGTACCTGAATTTTTAATAAGAACATGCTATTAGTCTCGAGGCAATCCGTGACCAAATAAGTTAGTCCATTGTGTACCACGAACTTTACAGCTAGGCATTAAATAATATGACCCTTAATGTTGGAATTATTGCGTTCGACGATGTTACAATTGAAGTATATGTAATAGAGGTTTTCCCTGCTCGTACGAAAGAGTATTTGCAAAAACAATGCATATTTATTAACGCTATAAAAAAAAGAAAAACACTCAAACCTCCCAATATAAAATACCATAAATAACAAAATCTTTTCAGATTGAACTCAAGCAGATGGATGGCAAACCAGTTTTGGAACCAGGTAATATTATTGTAAGTGCCAGGGTTAAAATCCTCATACCAGAAGAACCAGCTACAGAACCACCACCACCATCCGAGAACTCGGACAACTCATCCACGCCAACTCCTCCTACTACTCCTCGATGGAGATATGGTCATTATGGCTGGGGCTATGGCTACCCGCCTTGGTGGTATGACCCTAACTGTAAGGATCCACAATATAGATATGAAAATTTACCAGAAAAAAATTTGACTGTACCAGCCAACGGTCTAGTGACGTATGATTTATTGGTGAATGAAACCGATTCTGTTGAGGTTTATCTAAAGGTAAGACAATCTAGCGTTATTATTTCTGTGAACAAGAAATAGTAATAATATTAAAAACACAATATTTGTTCAAGTATTTTTTTATAATTAGTAAATGTACAGTCGTTCACACAAAGAATTTCTGCATATTGTTTTATTGACTGTCGCAATTTTAGTCTGGTTAGGCCAGTTGATTAGAAAGTTACATGAATAACTGAAACTGAAAAAATATTTAGACGACTATATCAGATTATAAATATGTAGATCATTCTACTGGTAAACAATCTGACAATCAGATGCTCTGGCATAACAGCACAAAACATTTTATATAGATAAAACATTTTGAGAATTGGCAATTATTGGATGAACAGTAATATGGTCGGTTGATCTTCGGTTGTATTAGATGGTTTTAAAGAAACTATTGAAAACTTTTCAGACAAGGTTGTATCATCACACAAGTATCTGATTTCTGCGTCGAGGACCATATCTGTCATATAAATCTTAACTGTCTTTTAGTTTAAAACATTTAATGAATATTTGAAATTCGGGTTCTCACTCTTATGTTATCTTGCCTTAATACTCTCTTTATTAATTGATTTTATAGGTATATTATGTAGAAGATACTGACGTATATACATCAAGGACTCTAACATCTTTCAAATCCCCGAGCAACACATTCTTGTCTGTCTCTCTTAAAACTAACAAACCAGCGTCTGGAAAAAAAGTTGAGCTCGAACTCAAAGCTACTCGAGAATTTAGCAGAGTTTATTACACAGTAAGTAATAGAGTCCAGGTTAGTAATAAAGAGTTGGAGAGTTATATAAGAACCTGTGAGATAACCGCTTTATTAATACTTCATGTTTTGCAAGAAATATAGCAGATAAACAATCTAATATTCGGATGATTATCTAATTTTGGTGACTTCAAATATGAAATTCAATGTAGATTAACGTCTGATTTTATATAAGATGTAAGCTTGAGTTAAAAAGTAGATATAGATTTTAACACTAAACATCGGGAACACCGAGAAGTTTTATCAGGTCTAAATTAATACACGAAGAAAATTAAGTGTTAAACAGTTTCCATAAACATATAAAAATGTAGAATTCCGAACCCCAATAACAAAACAGTAGT